CAAAAATTGTGCAAATATCTATGATGATGAGATTCATTATTAAACATTTGTATTATTATCTGTTCATGCATCTGTTAGGGGAATTTGTAGATGTTTTGAACATGCCAGCCAAAAATTCAATTTCATGTAAAAGAAAATAATCATGTTACACTGCTGCTCTCGTGTGGTGAGTGAGTGCAATATACTGTAAATGATGATATCTAATAACAAACACTTGTTCCTTCTTTTGTTTAATAGATAGATACAGTCACTGGGACAGTGTGCTTTCAAAAGGGACACATTTATACCGTATTTACCCCTAAAGGGCGCATTTTAGTAGCTTTTTAGTAGTATTTGTACTAAAAGTGTTGATATTCATACCTTTTTATTTATTTTTTCATACCTAAATGGTACATATTAGTACCCTTTGAAAGGATACAGCCCGAGTGACAGCTTTTGTACCTTTTCTTTTTTTTCTTAGAGGATAGATTTTTAGATGGATAGATATATAATATATATATATATAATTTGGATCAATATTTCATGTGTCATGTCTATGTATTTGTTTTAGTTAAATGAATTTCTAAGGCCTCTAAATTATCAAAATGATCAATATTTTGTCATCTGATTGATAGTTTATACTTTTTTATAGGCCTACGAGTTTATACCAATTTACTATAATTCCAGAGGTATTCTTGTGAAGTAAATGTAAGAATAACTTCAGTAATATTTCAAGATGAACACTTACTGGACTGAAGCAACTTAGTTTACTATACTATTTTTATATTACTGTATTTGATTCACTGTTTATTGCATAATTGGGTGTTTTGTTATATTGAATTATTTTTTCCTACTAAAAGCAAGTTCAAATTCAGTTTTGGCTTCTGCCTGCTTTTATTTATTGAATTTTTCGTGTTACCTCCCACAACCCCTAGACTCCAAGCAATTAAGGAGACTGGATAGTATTCAGCTTCTAGACATCTAGCAAGAGTTGTATGTTCACTCTCAGTGACTGTGTTCTCGGGTTTAAATGAAAGTGTCAGAGATCGCGGAGTGATACGAGAGACATGAAGTAGCGCTTCGTTTGCTCGTGATTATGATTATGATTATGATTATTTCAGAACGGTTTCTTTGCGATTCAGGGAGACCCGTATAAAGCCCTTGTTTGATCAAACATCAGCATTTAAGTCTCTCAAATTAAGAATCTAATCAATTAATGAAATCATTCTCATATAGGAGTGTCCAGTCCGTATAAAGTGAAGTGTTTCTGTTCCCTCGCTGTTATTTCCTCGGTGATGGAGAGCAACAGGTGCACCGGACAGCCGCACCGCGCGGCTCTGATTCTGGCCCGCGGCGGCAGTAAAGGAATCCCTCTGAAGAACATCAAGAGTCTGGCCGGTGTTCCTCTCATCGCGTGGGTTCTGAGAGCTGCCTTGGATTCAGAAGTCGTTGACAGGCAACTACAGTTTATTTGTTCTTTATCGTTTTAATATGATGGCTTTAATATGAGTTTGTAGTTAATTACTTTGACTTTTGTGTATGAAAAACTTAAGTGAAATGTTCATGAAAGGTCAGAAACGTATACTTATTCTAAATTAAATCTGTTTTTTTATTTTGTAGTTTTGTAAGTAAAATAGGCTACAAATATAGAAAGCGGTTTTTAAGAAGAAAGAAAAGAAGAAGTCAAATCTCTGCTGTTATGTTTGGCAGCGTGTGGGTTTCCACAGATCATGATGAGATCGAGCGCGTCGCAAGAGTCTGGGGCGCAAAAGTTCATCGGCGCAGTCCTGAAGTTTCCAAAGACTCGTCCAGCTCACTGGAGACCATCCAGGAGTTCATCCGACTGAGACCCGGTGAGACACACCTGGAGGCATTTTTATGCCTCTCAAACATAGGAAAAATTAGATGAACATTACAAACCATGCAGTGATATTTTTTTGTAATGCTATAGTTTTCCAGCGGAAGTGTGTATGAATTTATGGAGTTTAACTAACACAAACAAAACAAAACAAAAATGTTTACAGAAAAAGAATGTAACAATGCTATAGCAGATAAAACATAACTTTTGATAAAAAAAAAAAACACGTACAATACATGAAGGGGGAAAATGTATAATAAATAGTTAAAATAATTGTAAAATGAAATACATATATTTTTGAAAACACATAATAATATTTTTACATTTTCAATTAAAAAAATTGTGGCATGTATAATAATACGTATTATTTTCCTAACACAGACAAAACCATACTTTTTGTAAATTGAACAGAAAATGAATATAACATTCTATAGTAAAAACATGTTAGTGAAATTGTTACATTTTTAAATACTCTATAAGAATTGCAATTGTCCATCTAAATATATATAATTTTAAATATTTTAAGAAGTTAAAAAGTACACTGAAAATTTTCACTCAGAAAGTGCTAGTAAATTTCACAAATAATTACAAAGAAATGGCAAGTAAATTTTGAAGAAAGACTGAGATAGCATCCACATATATACATATATATAAGTAAAACAAAGATTATTGGAATACTCAACTTTTTGAAATTAAGATTTATACATCATCTGAAAGCTGAATAAATTAGCTTTCCATTGATGTATGGTTTGTTATTTGGCCGAGATGCAACTATTTGAAAATCTGGAATCTGAGGGTGCAAAAAAATCAAAATATTGAGAAAATCGCCTTTAAAGTTATCCAAATGAAGTTCTTAGCAATGCATATTACTAATCCAAAATTTAGTTTTTATATATTTACAGTAAGAAATTTATATATATTATATATTTATATATATTATATATATATATATATGTGACCCTGGAGCACAAAACCTGTCTTAAGTCGCTGACTCCACATAACCCATTATCTTATGAATATTTAAATTTTATTTCATATAGCCCATTATCTGACGAAAAGAGAATATTAAAAAAAATTATTCCATATAACCCATTATGCAATTAAAAACATATTTAAAAATATATTAATTGTTTAAAGATATATTTAATTTATTCAATTTTATTCCACATAACCCATTATCTGATGAAAAGCAAACATTTAGTAATATTGTTTAAATATGTATTTTATTTAATTCCACATGATCTATTATCGTATTATATTAATATATATATTTTTTTTTTTACAGCATATGTAAATATTAAGTTGCAGAGAAATTTCTTTTCAACAAGGAATATATTGTTGAAATGTTTCTGTAAGTAAATAGTATGAATCTGTGTAAAGAGGGAGAACAAGAATATAAAGCAATTACAAATATTTAAAAAATTATCTTCATCATTTTAAAATGGCAACGTGTGAGAGATTTAAGGGCCCAGAAAGGCCTACATTTTTAATGTCTTGGCCATTTATGTTCTGGCGGTGTTTTAGAGGTGGACATCGTCTGTCATATTCAGGCCACGTCTCCATGCCTCCACCCTCATCACATCAGAGAGGCCCTGCAGATGATCACTGAACAGGGTTGTGACTATGTGTTTTCGGTGGTTCGCAGACACCAGTTTCACTGGGAGGAGGTGGACAAGAAAGGTACCACGAAAACATCTCAAAATGTGTTTATTTTATTACTTGGTCACTTCATGGTCAATTGCACTTGATGTTTATGGCACACAATCTTTCATTTAAAAGCATATTATAAAATCAAAAGTAGATCACATCCATATACTTTGATATCATATCTTGAATATATGGCTCCCAACCCTGTTGCTATAATGTTTAGTAACAGTCATAATATTAACCGAAACTACATTTGAACACGTCTTTCACTTCTGTCTTTCATTTTAATTAGAGGGGAAGAATCCAACTCCTCTGAACATTGACGTGGCGCACAGGCCTCGACGTCAAGATTGGCGCGGGGAACTCTACGAAAACGGCTCTTTCTATTTTAGTACGAGAAAGGCTTTGGAAAACGGCCTTAAACAAGTGGGTCATTATCAAAATATGGTGACAAACCTGTTCCTAGATTTCTGAGTTATGAAATATATTTAAAACAGTTACATAAGTTACATATATTTTGTAATAAAATAATAAAATAGTCTGACTGAGTGCCCAAAAAGCCCCTTGTCCCCTTTTATCTGGTACCACGTATATGACATTTACAGTTATTTTATTTATTTATTTATAGTTTTCTGGGGCTTAAGCAAGTCAACACACAAATTGATCCAAATAATTCAAAATAAATAAAATCTAAATAAATAATGAATAATATAAACCATTTTAAATAAATGCTTGTCCCTTGATTTTTTTATTGTTGCTATCAAAGTTAAAAACATTGAAAATACAAAAAGTTGTGTGAAAATTTCAGAAATTTTACAAATACAAAAAGATGTGGAAATTTCAGAAATTTTGAAAATAAAAAAAGTAATTAAAAAGTTCTACCAAGGTAAACGTTCAGAGTAAGAAGAGGTACCAAAAAAGATTGCATTTAAATGTTTGTTTTTTTTTCAGTGTTGACATTACAGTGTTTAAAAAGATTGTGAATTTTTTTTTGACATTATAATTTCTTGATTTTAGTTTGAACAGTACAAAAATAAAAAAGAAAGAAACTGAAGTATTTTGAGATGATCTTAGAAAAATATTTAAAAATCACTGATGTTACAACCATTTCATAATTTGTGAAATAAAGTCCAAAAATCATATGTCAAGATATGCATAAATACACTCTTGAAAATAAAGGTTTGAAGCTTTCATGTGATGGCGTAGAAGAACCATTTTTGGTCCCGATTTTTTTATTGTTGCTATCAAAGTTAAAAACATTGAAAATACAAAAAGTTGTGTGAAAATTTCAGAAATTTTACAAATACAAAAAGATGTGGAAATTTCAGAAATTTTGAAAATAAAAAAAGTAATTAAAAAGTTCTACCAAGGTAAACGTTCAGAGTAAGAAGAGGTACCAAAAAAGATTGCCTTTAAATGTTTGTTTTTTTTTCAGTGTTGACATTACAGTGTTTAAAAAGATTGTGAATTTTTTTTTGACATTATAATTTCTTGATTTTAGTTTGAACAGTACAAAAATAAAAAAAGAAAGAAACTGAAGTATTTTGAGATGATCTTAGAAAAATATTTAAAAATCACTGATGTTACAACCATTTCATAATTTGTGAAATAAAGTCCAAAAATCATATGTCAAGATATGCATAAATACACTCTTGAAAATAAAGGTTTGAAGCTTTCATGTGATGGCGTAGAAGAACCATTTTTGGTCCCCAAAAACCTTTCAGTGAAAAGTTCCTAAAATAACTATTTTAAAAGTCTAGAGAACTTTTCTCCACTACCATTTATGGAATGGAAAGATTTCATTGATGTTAAAGTTTCTTCCTGGAACCGTCAATGCCAATAAAGAAGCTTTATTTGTAAGATTTTAATGGAGAAATTACCTGAACTAAAATTTTAAAGAATGACCCGTGTGTGAAACCTCGTCAGATATTTTGATCTGTTCTCTGTGTGTTTTAGTTGGGCAAGATCGCCTACTATGAAATGCTGCCTGAGTACAGCGTTGATATCGACGTGGACATCGACTGGCCTGTCGCTGAGCAGAGAGTTCTGAGGTGAGCTGTTTAGACAAACTCTGTGGCCAGACAAAAAGCATCAATGAAGATAGAAACGATACCCTTTTCTGCAGGTTTGGCTACTTTGGCCGAGAGGAGAACGCGGCGGTCAGGCTGTTTCTGTGTAAAGTGTCTGGCTGTTTGACAAATGGACAGATAATCACATCGGTTTCAGGCGAGGACCATGTGGCCATCAATGCTCGAGACGTGGCAGGCATACACATGCTGCAGAGAGAAAATATAGAGGTACAGTCGTGTGGGCTGGTACAAATAATATGCTATAATTGCTACACTGTAAAAAAAAAGTAATTTTAACGCTGGCATAAAAGTTGCCATAGTCTTTTGTGATGAGTGAAAAGAAAAAATGTAGAGTGGGAGAAGGAGGGTTTATTCTATTTTGATTAAATATGGTTATTTAAGTTATTTTGATTAAAGATTATGAATGCACATGAATTTTAAACGATAATGATGTGCACGGATAAATCATTTACATTAAACACTGCAATGTTAAACATTGCACTTCACATAAAAAAAAAAGTATTGTCAATTTTGGTTTCATAGTGGTGTTAACAGTAAAATAGTATGAAAACTGAAAAAAATGGTTAATTAACGGCATGTCCATTTACTGTAAATAGTGAAAATAGTAAATAGTAAAAAATTGAAAAATTAATTATTAAAAAAAAAAGTAATTTTATCATAAAATACTGTCAAATGTACAGACTTTGGAAATAAAAACGAACAGTCATCTTATAATTTACAGTAAAACTAGTGAAAACTGCATGAGACTTTACATTTGTTTGTATTTTGTTTAAAACAATTATGTTTCTTGTTAGTTTTGGTGATCAGTTATGTGCATTTGGGATTTATCTTCTTACATCTTATTTTGTTTAATTAATGTTTACTGCATTATTTTAGTGTCACCTATTATTATGATGGAGTTGTGCATGACACTGTGCACCTTCTGTATATTAGGTTATGTCTTTAGTATATGTTTTAGAATATTTTGATTGTTGGAAAGCTACTTGTTATGAACTTGTGATTCTTTTACCATCTGTATTATTATGGTGGTTATTAGTATATTTTAAAGGGATTTTACCATTACAAAATAAATACAAATATATTATGCACACACACATACAAACTTGTAATTATGTAGTTATTGTTTTTTTTTATTTTTTTTTTTCAATTCAGTACCTCATATGTGGTGAATAGAGCATTCAGAGGATACATGTGCAAAATACACAGCTTGGGGTCAAGAGGTGTCTCTTTACTAATAAGGTCAGTTTGGGTTGCTGTGATCACATGACATTGAATCTAACTTAAGTTAATAAATCACCTGTGTGTGTCTGTGAGCAAAATCTTCATGTTGCTGCTTTATCTCATTTCTTGATCTTTATACAATTGCATGTTCTTTCAAATGCAGTATTCAATACTTATCACCGATCATTATGTATTAATGTTTAATCTCATGCTTTGTCCTCACAAGTCACTGAGTGATAAGGAAACATCCTAATTTCTTATCAAGGGAAGCATTGTGCCGCAGTAGTTTTCCATTGCTTTTACTATATAACAGGGGTGTCCACACCTGGTCCTGGAGGGCCGGTGTTCTGCAGAGTTTAGCCAGAGATTGTCTTACTATTGGGAGATGAGAGGGTCTGTATTACTTACTATTGGAGAAAGCTTAATAGTCAACTGTGATAACGTGTGCATTAATAACCAATCACATTACAGCCTTGATGTCATTGAATTCCAGTCAGAGTTGAGCGACACTCAATCGCCGTTTACGGATACCATAGATATGAATGAGAAGTGCCTTAAGCTGTATCCCACCTGTCGCAAAAAGTCAGTGACTTCTCTTATAAAACGGCATTTTTTTGGTGTAAACTCTAAAAATAGTTCAATCCAAAAGTATTGCTTAGTGTAAAACATGTTGGAGATTAGCTGATAGGCTGTCGATTCATTAAATGATAAGCTGTTTCCTCTAAAAAAAAAGCTGTTTATTCAGCATAGTGAAGCCTCTCCTCCATTGACATCCATTCAAAAAAAAAAAGGCCTCTGGTCTCCTTTCCCACATACTGGCAAACCGGAAGCGTTAGCATGAGCCGTTATCCTTTTTTGGCTAAAGGTTGCAGGCTTGCCTTTTAGTGGCTTTGGTTTAGCTCCAACTTGGCTCAACACACCTGCCTGGAAGTGTCTATGCCTAGTAAAACCTTGATTAGCTGGTTCAGGTGTGTTTAATTGGGGTTGGAGCAAAAATCTACAGGACACCGGCCAAAATCACATTTGTTTTTCTAAAGAAACATTGTCCAACAATGACACTAGCAGGTAAAGTCCTTGTCTCTCTCACCTCCCCTGAGCCCATTGAGTTTTAACACACCCACTAAAGCAGGTGTTCCAACACACATGTAGTTTTCAAATAAGCCCGAAGGACTTGATTAGTTGGATAAGGTGCGTTTAATTGGGTTTTAATCTAAACTCTGCTGGGCTCCGGCACTCTAGGAACTGACTTTGACACCCCTGCTCTAAAGCGTGCGGTTAGTTTGGTGGAGGGTAATTGAGAATGAATGGGGGAAAGTCACGTGAGAGGAGGCAATGCCTCCATCACGATATGATTGGATATGACTGGTTATGTTCGGCTGTGATTGGTTCATGCGATAAATCCCACCTCTTGTGTTATATTTAACCATGAAAATGTGACTGGGACATGAATTTACATGAATTGTGAAATTTATAGTTTCAGCAATGATGCATTGATCATTTCGCCTATAATGTAAAAAAATATTTCTATTACAAATAAACGGTGTTCTTCAAACTGTTCTTCTGATCTTCCTATAACTGTGGTAATCAAAAATGTTACATTTATTTTATTTTCAGAAAGTCATTGCTTCAGAGATATTAAAGACACCTTATGGGTTTAAACTCACTTTTTTTTGTAATTCTGGAATGGTGACAGCAATAGTTCTTGAAGGGATAGTTCACACAAAAATGAAAATTCTGTCATTGTATACGTTACTCTCGATAATGGCAGTAGATGGTAACTCGGGGGAGAAGAATTGTTGAATAAAGTTGTTATTTATTTATTTTTTCTCAGTGGTAGAGCATTGTGTTAGCAGCGCAAAAGGTGGTGGGTTTGATTCCCAGGGAACACACATACTGGTAAAAAATGTATAGCCTGAATGCACTGTAAGTCGCTTTGGATAAAAGCGTCTGCTAAATGCATAAATAATTATTAATTATTATTATTATAAAAAGTACATATCTCATATTTGTTAATTATTGTGTTTATTGTTTATTGTATAGATGTTGATTTAGTAACTGCTTTTGTTAGAATTTGCTCATTAATTTGACTGTATATTTGCTCAAAAACAATGCAATAATTTGATTGTATTACTGAAATTTTTACATACAGTATCTCACAGAAGTGAGTACACTCACATTTTTGTAAATATTTTATTATATCTTTGCATGTGACAACACTGAAGAAATGACACTTTGCTACAATGTAAAGTAGTGAGTGTACAGCTTGTATAACAGTGTAAATTTGCATTTTGCATCTTAACATTTGCATGCAAATTCATGACCCTAAATGGGAAACAGTCACACAATTTCAAGAAGAAATAAATAGCTTTCAAATTTGATTATACAGTTGGAGGGTTAAGGTTGCATCAAAATGTTTTAAAACTTCATGCTTATAGTTATCATTATAGTTCTTGGTGTGAGAACAGGTCTTAATGGACATGTTGTTTATCGGCTTCCTATAACTTCCTATTCCTATCTTAGACATGTGGACTATTGAGAACAAATCCTATTGCACATGATCGAACCGTTGCAATGAGTTATCTAATTGTTCCTTATCAGACACACCTGTTTTATCTCCTTTGGAGACACATCCAAAACGTGTACTGTTGGAGTGCCACCAAGAACACAGTTGGCAAACACTGGTTTAAAGTAGGGATGCACCGATACCACTTTTTCCAGTACTCGCCCGATACGATACTTTTGTTTTTGGTACTTGCCGATACCAATATTTTTATTGCATTTGTACATTTTTTAAATATTGGGTACAGAAACCAAAAGAGTATGTATAATGTTAGTTGGTTAACTTAATTTATCAAATAGATACAGTCAAGCCAAAATTTATTCTAACACCTTCAACATTTCTCACATTATCACAGTTTATTTGCTATAGTTTAGAAAATGGTAATAAAATATGGAAAGAACTCAGAGTTAAACTGTATCAGAACAAATTCAGCTTGATAATGTTAGATAACTTTGATAGAAAGGTATGTAATAGATTACAATCAACCAAAATAATTCAGACAGCTGTTAGTATGACAGTATTTACACAACTATCAATACTTTGTCGGGCAACCCTTAGCCTCAATGACAGCCTGTAGTCTCCTGGGCATGCTGTCATCCAGCTTCATGAAAACCTCAACTTTAATGTTTTTTTCCCAGACTCCGTCTGAATAATTTTTGGTCCCAAATTTGTATAAATTTTACTTGTAGTCCACTGTATGAAGAATTTTTTGATATTTTCAGAAATAGAAGTCGCGTTTTTTCATCTGAAACGTGATGCGATTTATATTCCAAAGCCACTCATATAATGCAGAAATGCTCATGAAGCAAGCAAAACACGCATGTAGGTATTTGTTCTGATGCAGAATAGCACAGCCCAGCGCATTTCACAAGCTGCTAGATTCACTTTTGCCAGAAAGTCGTGTATGCCTAAGGTTGAAAATAAATGATGTTTATAGTGAATGCCCCTATAAATGGTCTTAGTTTTACGATTTAGTTTTAATCCAAATGATGCGTGTGCTAAGTGAGTGAACATCAAAGACCACACAACAGAAGTGCGCGCTCTCTCTTTCTCTACCGTTAAGTAACTTGTGCATTGTTTTACTTGTTTTTTATATATCCGCCCGAACTACAAACTTTCCAGTGATGTCTGTGAGAAAGACATATTCACTGGACAAGCTCGCGCATCTGCGCCGCCACACACTCAATCCACTCAGCGTGCTTTGCTCATCAGCTCGCGCACATCAGCTATACAGGCGTTAATACTGAATGTTTAACGTTATATTCATTGCATACATATACTTCGTAGTAGACATCCTTAACTCCATTCTGCTGTCTGTTGTTGGTGTTTCTTTGTTTGAATATGGCGCTTATCTCATGCTGTGTGGTATCGGTGTTTGGTATCGGGGCATTTTAACGAGTACTAGTACGAGTACAGGAGCTCAGTATCGGCCCGATACCGGTGCATCCCTAGTTTAAAGAGTATATTGCTGTCAACCTTGTGAACCATTTTATGACTTGGAAAATACAATAGAGAGCTTTTATGTTGTTACAGTGCAAATGTAGATATCCATTTTGTGATTGGCACACACTTTACATTGTTCCATCTTAAAATCTTATCTAAATTACGACGTTTATTCATGCGTTCATGATCTCAAGGTTAGATTATTGTAATGTTTTGTTGGGTGGTTGCTCTGCACGCTTAATAAACAAACTCCAGCTGGTCCATTTGAATATACCTAGCATATCAAAATCAAAATCAGTGGATCCTTTTCCTATTTATCACCCAAACTCTGGAACAATCAACCTAGCGTTGTTCGGGAGGCAGACACACTCTGTCAGTTTAAATCAAGATTAAAGACCCATCTCTTTGATCTGGCATACACATAACACATTATCGCATTTCTATAATTCAAATCCGTTTGAATTGTTAAAAGGATTGTTAGAACATTTTCCATTACACCCGATTACTCGTTACACTCATTACATCATAAGAAGAATGGCATCTATGCTAATATTAGTCTGTTTCATTCTTATTCCTCGGTCACCATAGCCATACTGATCCAGTCCGTTTCCAGACTAGATTGTGGATCTGCACCTAGAGACGACCTCTACAGCCTTGAATGTCTGCGGAGACCATGTCAAGTAGATGAGCCCCAGAGACAGATCCCCTACGAAGACCTCGTCAGCTTGACGACCATTGGCACAAGACCATGGGAACCAGACAAGTCCTCTGCACAATCTGACCTGTGTTGCAGTCTGGAGTTAAACCACGCCATGCTGGTTTCGTCTGGCCAGAAGAGAACTGCCACCCCCCTGGTTTCTCCCAAGGGTTTTTCTCCATTTCTGTCACCAATGGAGTTTTGGTTCCTTGCCACTGTCGCCTTTGGCTTGCTTAGTTGGGGACACTTGACTGATTGCACAGACATTATTGGAAGAGAGCTGAATTGGATGATGACATCACTGAATCATCAATGAACTGACCTTAACTGAAAAATTTACTGTTTTTTATTGTCCTCTTGCATTATTGACAGACTATTTTCCTGTTTAACACTGTGAAGCTGCTTTGACACAATCAGTATTGTATAAAGCGCTATATATAAATAAAGGAGACTTGACTTGACTTTCCTATATTGTATATGTAAAGCTGAATTTAAATGGTTTTGGCTGGCCAGCAGTGTTGGGTAAATTACTCAAAAAAGTAATAGATTACAA